CATAACCCGTTGTAGTGCACTGGGATGCCTCCGTTAGCAATGGTGGAGAATTGCGGACGATCCTCGGGAGAGTTTGGCGCAGCTTGCGGGGGTGTACTTGGGGTTCATACTAGGGAAAGCAGGGCTGAGCTGGGGAGCCGATGGGCAGAGATTGGGATAAGTTGGGGACATGTGGGGCAAACGTGGGGAGATCTGGCGGAGAGATGGGGAGAGATGGGGAGAGATGGGGAGAGATGGGGGAGATGGGGGGAGATGGGGAGAAGATGGGGGGAGATACCGCTCGAGGCGCCGCTCGCGCCGCCTCCCCGCACCGCGGCGCCGCCCTCCGCGCGCAAGTCGACCTGTGAATCAATTACTTCATTACTCGAGTACTTCATTAAGTTAAGCAGCCCTCCTCGCGCAAGTCGACCTGCCGTGCCGACTCGCCGGCTCGAGACACTTCCGAGACACTTCCGAGACACTTCCGAGACACTTCCGAGACGCCGGCTCGAGGGCCTCCACGGCTCGCGCGCCTCCGAATGGGGGAGATTGAGGGAGATGTGGGGAGATGTGGGGAGATGTGGGGAGATGCGGGGAGACATGGGGAGAGATGGGGAGGTTTGGGGAGACATGGGGAGACATGGGGAGATACGGGGAGATACGGGGAGATTTGGGGAGAGATAGGCCTCGCGCGCCTCAGGTCGAAGTCGAAGACGGGGGCAAAGTTGGAGAGGAGACAGCCCCCCTCCTCAAGCTCCACCGACAGGCACTGCGGAGGGCCACTCCAGCGCGCCTGATCTCGACGTGAGCTCGCGTGGCCTCGCGTAATCTGGTGGGATCTGGTGTGATCTGGCGAGACTTCGTGCGATCTCGTGCGATCTCGTGCGATCTCGTGCGATCTCGTGCGATCTCTCGCGATCTCGTGCGATCTCGTGCGATCTCTCGCGATCTCGTGCGATCTCGTGCGATCTCTCGCGATCTCGTGCGATCTCGTGCGATCTCTCGCGATCTCAGCTCAAGCGCGCGTCGTCGAGCGCAGTCAGGTCAACCCCGCACACCTGAGATATGGGGAGATGCAGGGAGATACGGGGAGATACGGGGAGTCAGGTCAACCCCGCACACCTGAGATATGGGGAGATGCAGGGAGATACGGGGAGATACGGGGAGTCAGGTCAACTCCGCACACCTGCCCGGCGCTCAAGCACGCCGCCGCCGCCCACAGCTCGGCCCTCTCAGGCACGAACCGAAGCCCTCTCGCCGCGTTGTGACCGCCGCCGCCGCCGCCCCTGCTGACTCCGCCGCCGCACCCGCCGCCGCCGCCGCCGCCGCACCCGCCGCCGCACCCGCCGCTGCCGCACCCGCCGCCGCCACCGCCGCCGCTGACTCCGCCGCCGCCGCCTCCGCCTCCGTTGCGTCGGACCGCCGCCGCTGCCGCCGCCGCCGCCGCCGCCGCCGCGGGCAGCAGCCTCCGCCCGAGCAGAGCCTCGTCAACCAGAGGCGTCAGTACGACCACATCCCACGCCCCTCTGCCCTCGCTACCTCCCTCTCCGCCGCCGCCGCCGCCGCCCTCGCCGCCGCCGCCTCCCTCGCCGCCGCCGCCCTCGCCGCCGCCGCCTCCAGTGCCGGCTGCCGCGAGGACTATGTCGGCGCAGAGTCGCTCGAGGGTCTGTGGCGCGACGGTCACCGCGTGCGCCACGCCGTGCGCCGCCGCGACCTCTCCGATGGCGGCGGCGGCGAAGCGGTTCGGATCGCAAACCGTCACGGCTGCACCGGCGGCGGCGGCCACCGCCGCCTCTGCACCCAAGCTTCCTTCCGCAACCAGCACGTACGGAGGCCGCTGCAGCTCGCTCCTCGCCGCTCGCACCGCGGCGAGCGTGGCCGCCACCGACTGCTCCGCCCACGGCGCGTGCCGCGCTTCCGAGAGCCGGCGGTAAGGCTCGAGCGCCTCTGCTCTCTCGTCGAGCCAACTGAGCAGAGGCCCTGCGCGAGGCCTCACGCCGCACAGCCGCCTCCGGCACGCGTCGACGTCCCACGCGTCGTCGCCGGGGCCGGATGCGCGAGCCGCGGCGGCGCACACGCGCTCGGAACGCCACGGAGGCTTGAGCAGCACTGGGTCGACAGCGTCCGCCTTGACGCCGCCCAGCGCCTGCGCGGCGTCGAGCGCCAAAGCCGCCTCGCGTCGGCGCCGCTCGTGCGCCTCGCCGTCAGGCTCCGGGAGAGCTCGGAGCGTCGCAAACGCGGCGGCGAGGCTCTGCGTTGGGTCGGCCACCATGGCAAATCGGGCCAGTCAGAAGAATCTACCCATTCAAGCCCCTCTCACAGCAGACTGGCCCCCCCCGGGGGGGGGGCACGAACTAGCAGAAGAAAAACATTCCGGACCTACGGGCGGCAAGAAAATCGGCAATTGTCGTTCTCAGCAGCAGCTTCGTCGGCGGCAATCGAGATCTGCACCGACGCTATCAAGATGCGATGGCGGTCGTTCGCGCGCACGGTAAACCATCCTTCTTCATCACGTTCACGTGCAATCCTAACTGGCCCGAGATTGTCAACTCCCTCCCCAAGGGGCTGAAGGCGTGCGATCGACCAGACTTTGTGAGCCGAGTCGTTCGTCAAACGCTGGGGAACTGCTGACCGACATCAAAGAAAATGCGATCTTTGGGACCGCCAATGCGAACCTTTCCGTCACCGAGTTTCAAAAGCGTGGTCTGCCGCACGGTCACATCTGCCTTCCCCGCCGTCACCATCTCCGCCGCTGCCGCCACCGCTGCCGTCTTCTCCGCCCCCGCCTTTCCTCCCCTCTCCCTCTCCACCCCTTTGGCCGCCGTTTCCAAGCCCTCTGCCATCGCCCCCCCCTCCCTCTCCCCCACCGCCGTCGCCGCGGGCGCCACCCCCACCCCCCCCCCGACGCTGCCATCACCATCTCCGCCGCCGCCCTCGCCTGACGGCCGTGCGACCGTCACTTCATTATGCGCGCCATAGCCTCGGGACGACGAGAACTATGCTTCCATCATGGATTGGTTCGACCAGCCCAAAGACGGGCGCCCTGTCATCATCGAGTTTTCAGCAACTCCCCCTCTTGTGACGATCGTGGAGGGGAGTCGCTTTCAAGTTGGTATCGTTCTTGGGGTCAAGGTCAGCGTGCCGGGCAGCACACACCTCTTCGGAATGGAGAATGGCATGCATGGGCTTAGGTGTGCAGGGGGGGTACCGAGCAGTGTGCGGCCGCTCCATCGGCCGCCGAGGGAACGTGCACTATCAAACTATTAGCCTAATAACGTACCTAATTATCAACAGATACCTAATAATTAGCTTGTTATTAGCTTAATAATTAGCTTAATAATTAGCCTGCTATTAGGTATGTGTTGATAATTAGGTACGTTGTTAGGCTAATAGTTTGATAGTGTGGGAAGAGGCACGAGGAGGGCGGCGACCTCAACCGACTATGGAGGACCCGTCGCCAGACGACGCAGGGCAGACGATGTGGAGGCGGAGCAGACGCGCAGGGCGAGACGAGGGAGGGAGCAGGACGTTGCGGAGATCAGCAGGAGGATGTACGAAGAGATTAGGAGCAGCAGGGACCCGAGGGACCATGTGGAAGACGGCTAGTGTGCTAGTCCCCCATGGGGAGGACGACCCCGGCTAGTCGCCGACCACACCCACAAAGAACCCTGCACAAAGATCGCACGGGCGGGGACCTGTTCCCTTTTACCCATCTACTCTCACACAGACACAGTACTCAGTACGGCTTTACACAGTAGAGGTGCACTTGGAGGTGTCGGTTTTTATTTATTTTATTCCGGGAGTTTGGTTGCATGGCGTGGACGGACGGAGCTCGGAGGGGGCAGAGGTCGGGGCGCGCAATCCGGAAACTAGGATCCAAGACGGAAGTGGATAAAATTATTTGAATGGCCGAAAAAAGAAATGAAGATGAAACTCTCTCTGGTGTCACAGCCGACAAGATCAAGAAATCCGCTCTTTCTCTCTTTCTCCCGCCCCCAGATCGGCGGCGACCTGCAACGCCGGTCGTCGTCGGCGGCGGCTTAGCCGGCCGAGGGCGCGGCGTGTCGCCCGGAGGCACGGCTACGGGCGAGGATATCGCCGATCACGTCGGCCGCCGCGGGCTTAGCGGCCTCGGCCCTCGAGAATCGCTCCGTCCTCGCCGCCGCCTGCTGCTGCGAGTGAGCCAGCAGCGTGTGGAAGGCAACGCTGCCTTGGCCCGACGCGCCAAGCGGGGCGCGCGGCTCGCCAAAGTCGGGCCCTGTCGACGGGTCCTCCTTGTCGGCCGCGGGGTGCGCCGGCGAGAGTGGCGCGTCCCTATCGACCCCGAGCAGCTGCACCCCGCGCTTGCCAAAGTGACTGCTCGCCGCCGCCGCCGCCCGCTGCCCCCACTCGGCGCCCACCGCCGCCCCCCTGCTTGCCAGAGCCGCCGCCCGCTGCCCCAACCCTGTGCCTGCCTCCGCCGCCCACGAGGCGGTCCGCTTGAGTCCGCCCCCAGGTCCGCCTCGCGCGGCGTGCTCGTGCGGATCGTACGCCACGTACGATCGCAGGCGGCACCGGAGGGCGAGCAGGCAGGCAGAGCCAACAGCAGCCAACGCCAGCACGGACACCGCCACGGGCGCCAGCACGGACGCCAGCACGGACGTAGGAGTAGGAGTAGGAGTAGGAGTAGGAGTAGGAGTAGGAGTGGGAGTAGTATAGTAGTAGTAGTAGTTGTAGTAGTTGTAGTAGGGCGGCTGCGCGGGAGGCGGGAGCGGGGGCGGGAGGAGGAAGACCTTGCGCCGCACGTAGCAGGCGGCGGTGTCGGAAGGCGCCACCGCCTCGACCGAGAGGGGCCCTTTGACGAGCCGGCAGTCCGCGAGCGCGGAGGAGGACGCGTTGGCGGGTGAGAACTCGAGCGCGATGCAGAAGAGGGAGGACGAGCACGCCTCGAAACAGCTCTGTATCGGCAGCTCGTGGTCGGTGATGAGCGCCTATAAGGGGCAGGTCCGAGACACGTCCACGACATGTCCGAGACATGTCCTGCTCGTGGTCGGTGAGGAGCGCCGTCTCGTCTTCGGCCGAGGCGGAGGCGGGGCGCGGCTTGGCCGAGCGGCGGGCCGACTGCATCGCGACGTCGAGGGAGGCGAGGGCGCCGGAGGGCGCTGCGATGACGCAGTGGCCGCGCCGCCCTTTGGGCATAGCAAACTCTGTCCACTTGTATGGCGGCGACGCCGGCGGCGGAAGGGGGGGAGGCGGCGGCGGAGGCAGCGGTGGCGGCGAGGGCGGTGGCGGTGACCAGCAGCCCGTGAGAAGAATGCCCTTGCACACGCCCTTCTCCAGACCCGACGGCGCCACACATAGCCGCCACCTGTCTTTGTCGGGGTCGGCCCACCGCCGCCCATTATAGTAGTAGAACCTGCTGCAGTTGTTTTCCGGATAGCGGACGTCTTTGCAGGCGCCCTCGGTGAGTTCACTGCGGCCGGCGAGTTCACTGCACGACGGCGGCGGCGGCGGCGGCGGCGGCAGTGTTTGGCTCTTCGCGGATAAAGCCGCGCTGATGAGGGCTGAAGCCATCGCGTCGGTATCAGATCGCCAGCTCGCGCGCGGGTGCGGCAGGTAGAAGGACTTGACGGCGTTGACGGCTCGAGGTGTGAAGAGACGCCGTTCACACGTCATGCTATGAGGAGAGCCCTATCACGCCATGAGTTGGTTTTTCTTTTCTCTGTGTTAGTGCCAGTTCGCCGCGAGTTGTGTTGAAAATTCTTTTCTCTTCTCCACCACCAATTCGCGGTTCTCGAGGTTCTCGAGGTGGATATCCTTTGGCCGCGTTGGGTAGCGAGGAATGGTGAGATGCGATCCACGCAGGCGTGTTTTCTGGCGGCCGACCGTCAGTGCGCGGAGTTGCCCCTTCTCCGACTTACTGATACTGTGTGTTACTGTTGTTACTGTTGTTCAGCAGGCAGCAAGCAGGAAAAGCCAAACCCCCGGGTAAAACCCGAAAATACCTGGGTTTTACTGTTGTTCTGTTGTTCTGTTGTTCTGTTAACACTAGCAACATTGCTCAGCTCCCAAAAATGCCAGCTCTAGTCAAGTGTGTGTAGCACCTTTGGCCCCGAACGTAGGTCACCACACTCGCGGTAGCCAGGTAACCCCCCATACCAGTAGCACCAGCCATGGCCTCAGAGAGCGCGGGCGAGGGCGCTGGGAGCAACACGGACAAAAGAACATCAAAAGTCATCATTTCCACAACCCACCCGAGACCCGTATTTGCAACTATCGCGACTGCAACTAGTCGCGACTGCCGAGCGCGACCGCGAGGCGCGAGCCCCGCGCGGTCCGCGTCGTCGGCCGTCGATCTCGTCTCATGAAAGAGGAGAGCGATGTCGGTGTCGGTGAACAGCAGAAAAGTTCCTTGATCTCTCCACTACGAAAAAGGCCGGTGGGGAACCCCGAATTACGTCCTCTCTAGGTGACCTGTGGGAGCTCCACAAACCAGGTTCACTGTGCCCGCGACCCGGGTGTGCGCCAGACTTGTGTCGCTCGAGCCTCGGAACGAGCCGCGCGCGAGGCGTTCGCAGCACGGCGGGCAGCCAGGCACGCGCGCGCGCCGCTGCAGAGCATGGGGTGCGGGGCGAGGCGGCCGGGCATGCTCGCGCAAAGGCCAACACGCGCCGCATCGCGCGGGGGCGCGGGGCGAGGCGAGGGCGTGACAACCAGCGCAAATTTCACGCGCTCCCCCGCCCCCGCGGCTTCTAGTGCTTGTCTGGCTTTATGAGGAAGAAGATGGCCGGGTTATTGTTCGCAGCGTCGTCCGGGCGGTGCAGCGCACGTGCGATGGACCTCGAGACGGCCGGCGCAGCGTACATGGAGAACGTGACGAACGCCTTAGATCGAGCAGTGCGAGCAAGCCACGCCATGAGCTCTATGCCTTCGCCGCCCGGTTGCTTCTCCGAGTAGAGGAGGTCGAGCCGGTTGCCGCTTGTGGCCTTGGCCGCTCGGCGGATGCAGTCGACCTCCGTCCGGAGAGTGGCGAGCGACATGTCGGTTTGACAGTGCTTGAAGGCTGGTATCATGAACGGCGAGAAGATGTCGTGGACAAAGACGGGGAGAGGGTGCGAGATCGCCGCCGCCGCCTTGCGGAGCAGCCGGTCGGTGTAGAGCTGAGCGAACGAGTTGCGGTGGAGGGCGTCAATGAAGAGCAGCTCGGCGTCGAATGGTACATCGTCCTTATCAAGCGCGGCGATTGCGTCACCCTGAACGAACGACCATCGGTGCTTGAGGACCGACGGCGCG